TAATTCCATTTTCTATGTTGTTAATGCTTAGACCAGGTATAGGCTACCTGCAACTCCTAATAAAATATGAAAATCTCTTGATTGGTTGTAAGCAAAAGGAACAACCCGACATACAATTTACAAATTGGAGATACCAAAATTAATCAAGTATAGCAATTTAAATATCTGTGAAGTGTTTTAACAGAGGATGGAATGTGCAACACCAAAATCCGCAAGCACATTGGGAGGATAGTGAAAGATGCCTTTCAAAGCCTAAGCAGAGTATTAAGAGACAGTAAAATTTCATTAGACACAAAGAAAAGTGTACGTAACAGTTATGTAATATTGGTCATCCTCTATGGCAGTGAATGCTGGACCATCCATCTCATCACAGACGAATATGAGACTTGAGGCAACAGAAATCTGGTTCTATACAAGGATTATGAGATTACCATGGACTGAACATGTAAGCAACAACGAAGTTTTAGAGAAAATGGAAGCAAAAAGGAAACTTATATTTAACATCAGGAAGAGACCATTGAAATGTCTAGAGTATATAATGAGAAAAGAAATACAGTAGTTATTTATTTGAAGCATAACAACAAATTTTACTGGCTTTTTCTGCTTGATTGTACGTAAAAAACATTACAAGAATCTACACCTCAGTTATGTGCAATAAGTTTTCTACAAGATATTTAAATATTTTGAATTTTCTATCTCCTATTAAATAAGCTGGGATGAAAAATTTACAAAACTAAATTTTCGTGCAGTTGTTCCCCTTAGATTTGTTTTAATATACGAGTTATTGCTCATAAGATGTTATCATCAAGAATAAAGAAAAGTTTATACTGAGGTTAGGTTATTCTATTTTGAAAAAAAAAAAAATTATTTTTATATTTTTTTTTTTTACTTTTTTCATCAATAATGGCATCCCAAATTTCCAAATCTTTAGAAACCTATTCCGCTTATTTTCTTTTCAATTCCAGAATCGAAACAAATCACTTTATAAAAAAGAATTATTTTTTAAACCATTTTGATAATTTGATAGAAAACATTTATTTATTAAGATATGTCCAGATTGAAATTCCATTCTCATCATATTTCTGATCAGAAGTGACTCTAGTGTCATCAGCTGTATTATGGTTTCTTAGCTACATTCAAACTGAATCGCTGCAGTCCCAAAGATCCAATGGAAGTCCTATCAAATTTATGAATAGAAGATTTGCCACATTTTTTTTTAACTTCAAGACGTTTTTTTTTTGTCTGTATAACTTATGTTCATCACAGAAAACGATCTTTCAACCTCCTCGGAACTTACAGCAATGGGATTATATTTTTTTAGCTATTATATATCGGCTATAAAATTATCTGCGGATAATCCAACAACCGATTCGCTAAGCTTTTAGTTTTAATTCTAAAAATCATTTCAAGGTAGCGGGTTACAGATTGAGGTTGTTGTATGAGATGCAAGAGCAGGGCCGGTCCAAGGGTCTCGTGCCCTCATCCCCGAATATATGATATGGGGCACTTTACTTTACCACAATTTTTTTTTATATGATATTATTTATATAAAAAAATCCAAATTTTTTTGTAACTTAATTATGTACAATAATAAATCATATACAATAGGTGAACAATTCAACCAGAAAAATTGAAAATAAATACAATGTATCTAAAAAAAACTAGAAACATGTCATAAATAAATCAACGATGTTTTTTTTCGGTAATTTTTAACATCAACTTGAGATTTTTCTTTTTAAAAAGCTGAATAATTTTAGCGCATTCATTCAACTTTATGGATAAAAAAACAGTGAATTTTATGTAGTGTTTTAAGAGATTAGCATTTGCAAAAGTATTCATGACTTCATCACAGTCGATGGATCGAGCATATTCATTTTCAATGGAAATTATTGCTAACCATCTCCCATTGTAGATCGCAGATGATTTTTTATAAGTTTTCATTTGCTGAAACTTGTAACAGTCTGTAATGGTGTGGGATCTTCCACAACAAACCAACCTTACCTCTTTTTAGGAAATGCACTCTTCCTATCTGGTAAGTAACATCCTACTTTCACATAACAAGTATTCATTGGTCAATCACCTCCAATCTAGCTTGCTGATTGGTCAGTTCCGACCAATCAAACCGCCTGCACGCGACCAATCTGTTTTTCCCGCTCATATGCTAGGAGCCACTTGACTATTATATAAACCGAACACGTGTGAACCTTTTTGAAAGAAGAGTAGTAGCTTTCTTTCCATTCACCTCTTTCGCACGTCTCAAGATGTAACCTTCACCAACCCCCGTCTTAGTCATTGCTGGCCAGACGTTAAAGACAATTACCAACATTCACGAACTCTGAAATCACTCCTGAACTTTTACCAACTTTACAACTCACAATTTCAAACTTTCTTAATGTGAACTCCGGTACAACTAATAACTAATCAAAGGGACACGACTCTGTCCTACCTTTTCAGTTCGCATGCATGTACATCAAACATTAATAAATCTAATTGTTATGTTTTGGACTCATTCAGTTCAGTTTTGTATTTTATTTTATGTGCTATTTACGTCAAGTATAAATTGCATTGCTTTCACGCATTGTCCTTAATCTCATCTTTCCTAGCCCAAGTTAAATATTGGCAACTCAATCACTACAATAATGATGACCGCGACGTTCATCGTTCGACGTTCACAACAACGATGATAATACAACAGCTACATATTTGATGATCCCGTCGGAAATAAACAACAATGGTACCCCTATCACTACAATGGGGTGGGTAAGTTAGGGTTGATGTCGTAGTAATCCTGACTTGATATTATTTGAGTATTGTTAAAGTAAGTACCCCCTCTAAGAAGAATCCTTTTCTCTTTTTTTTTTGAAAACGAAATGAATTAAAAGGTACAACAATGACATAAACAATAAAAACTTGAGACACGTGTTGACATAAATAGCAAGAATTTGTATTTTCTTTTTGTGATGCGAATTACAGAATATTGGTATGATGTGTGTAAAAATATTCTTAGTGTCTCTTTTGTGCTTACTTGGATTGGTTCCGAGAATTTCGTTTATGAGGATGCGTTTGAAATCGTCTGTTTTTTTTTTATTTTCCGGAGACATGTGTTTCTACTGATTACTACTACTCGTCTCTGGTCCCTCCACGTGGTGGAAAGGTCGTTTTTATAATCACGAGGGTTAGGATGATGAAATATCCCTCTTTTCTATCATCACTGATGACAAGGTTATTTTTAGAATGACTTAATTTTTTATCATCACTGATGGCAAAATTATTTTTAGAATGATGAAATATCATCATTCTGAACCATAACAAAAAATTGATGTAGTAAGCAATACACGCAATGCAATTTACAAATTCGGGTAAGTACGAGCTAAATGATTCCGAAAAATATAATGTAAAAAATCACGGGCAGTTTTTAGCTCACTTTTTCTGTTCCTGATCTCGAATTCACGTTGCTGAATTGAGACAAAAATCTCTTATCTCGTGGGGCAATTCTAGTTCTACCTAATTTTTTCATGAAATCGTTTGCACTGCAAATTCAGTTTTCCACATTTTACTGCATTCAAAAGAGACTGAATTCTGAATGAATTCATAAATTTCACTCCACTGGGATAGCTGAGAAAACAGATTATTAATTGAAGACAAACATTGATCCTCAAGAGAGATTGTGGGTGAAGAGGTTGTTTTTCTCATACGCATCGGCGGTCATCAAAATGTGGTGGATTCCCTCACATTATAGCAGCAGAAATTAGCCTTTTGTTCACGGAGATAAAAGCATATGTTATGATCCAGAATGATGATGATATTTCATCATTCTAAAAACAACAGTTATGATTGATGATAAGGATATTTCATCATTCTGAAAATAAAAATCAAATATTTCATCATTCTAAAAATCATCATTATAAAAACGACCCTTCCAGCACAAGCAAAAACAGTAGAGTAGCAGTAGTAAAAAGGAACAACACAGACGTATCACTATCGCTCCATGAAAATCGACAGTTGACAGTCGCACCAGTATATATGGTATATAGAGATGAAGTAAGGGTCAAATTTATTGTCTATAGTACCATTTATTGTTGACTTCATTTGGTTACAGTGTTTAAAATGGTTAACTATCGTCATAGTTCTTTTTGTGATTTGAGTGTTCATACAGGGTTGTTGTGTTCCTTCTGGTTGACGGAAATTAATTCGTTGCACTCATCCTTTCTTCTTCTTTCTCTTCTGGAGTTGTACGTCAGGTCAAACTCACAGCCAATGAATCACCAACCTTTATGTATCGAACTGCTACCTCGAATCAAGTCCCTCTTCGCTGCGGCGTCTCTAGTCTTGTACGTGGTTTTCTTCTTTTCATTGGGGCTGACACATCCGTGTTTTTCCGTTTGATTTTTGGCGGGACATGTTGTCATTGGTTGATTTTTTATATGACGTTCACTGACCCACATTCCTTCCTTCTATTGTTCCTATCCTCGGTAACGAACATAAAACAGGACTTAGTTTAAGTCCGGGTTCATGTTCGTTACCGAGGATAAGGAACAACAGAAGGAAGGAATGGAAAGGAAAGGAAATATATAGAAGAGAGGGAGAGAGAGTTTTCTTTGTCACTCACTTAGTAAAGAGGAAAGTGTATATTTTCGTATGGTGTTATTACTACCTAATCCTACTACTACACTCTTAACAACGAAATTCTCGGATCAAGTAAAAACAAATAAGCACAAACTTTGAAAGAAACAAAAGAGATAATAACACTGAGAATATTTTAAACACACACAATACCAATTACCAAGTAATTAACGTAATGAAAAGAAAAATAGACATTCTTGTCACCTGTCTCAATATCTTATTGTTTATGTTACTGTTGTACGTTTTATTTATTTTATTTTCAGTAAAAAAAAAAAGAGAAAAAGAATCCTCTATCAACTACAAATACATAGAAAAACGGGGTAATTACTTTAACAACCACAGCATGCCACGACCCCCACCTCGTTACACATACAGACCTGAAAGTATGTGGAAGTACCAGTATAAAACTCTGACTGAAGGGAGGTTCATAGTGTTGGTTTCAGGTGGATGGAAGAGAGAGTGGTCTCTGCCAATCAGAAACGCTGGTGGGAGATATGTCTTTAAGGAAGCGGGAGGAGCCAGGCCTGTGTTCTCTACCTGTGGAACGAGATAACTTCCAAATGTAGAAAAATTAAGGATGTGTAGTGAAAAATTCTAAACAAAGGAACTTTGTTAGAATTTAGTCAATTAGTCCGAGAATTTGGAAAAACCCTAAGTCCCCACCATTCTCCAGGCTGGAGCTGGGGCCCATAAAAAGCAGAACGTTTGCAGAGAAAACGGAGACGAAGGGCGAAAACGGGAGAGAAGATAGATTGAGCTGCTGACGACTGCTTCGCCTGATGCCACGTCACTCCTGCCTGACGAAGACCTCCAACTTCAACCACGCTCCAGAAACGTTTTTAACAATCAACTATAACGAACAAGAGTGTCGCGAAATTATATACAAGAGAAGAAGACGGGATGAGAGAGAGAGAGAGAGAGAGAGAGAGAGAGAGAGAGAGAGAGAGAGAGAGAGAGAATCGTTTCACAGGATTCCTGTCATTGAATAAAGCCTCCGACTTCGATCTGTGTTGCAGAGTAATAATCTAGACTTAGTCATAACGAACAGGGGTGTCTGGAAATATTCGAATGAGGGAAGGGTCGAGTGACTTTGTATGTCAAGATATGCTTACATGAAGAATCTATGATCTTGTATGAGGAACAAAACTTGTATTACCAGCTCTGTATAAGGAACGTCATATAAAATATAATTTTTTTTTTAAGAATTTATCTTGTGACTGGTGCCTTTTATTTGTCCGGTCCGAACTAGTTCAATGATTCCCGTCGACAATTGACTCTTGCCAGCCTTATGATCTAAATTAAACACAACGTGGGATAGGGCAAGTTGAAGTGAGCGATATCAATAGTGGACACTGGACGGAAAGACTGGACGGACTCACGGGAGGACGCAACGTTATATTATTGCATTTTTTATTTTACTATTTAGAGCAGTTTTTCGGTAACTGTTTTAAAAAAAGGAAACTGAGGATTTAAATTTCCCAAGGAATTTTATTTTTAACTAATATAAACATTTAATTTATCCAACAACATTTAATTTATCGAAATTTCATATAATTAAATAAGTAGGAGTAAAAGATGTAAAACAATATTTTCTAAAAAAACATTTCTCAAATAATTTAATTCATTTGAAATAATTTTAATTATTAATCAATAAATTTTAATTATTAATTAATTAATTTTGATTAAATTGGAATAAGTCTTGTAAGTTCCATTAATATCCGACAATTATTTGATTTTTGTAAAAATTTAGAAATAACACACTGATTTCGAAATTCTTACAAAAATCAAATAATTGTCGGATATTAATGAAACTTAGAAGACTTCGCCGCAAAAAGGACGTTAAAGCTTCCTGTATTAATCTTTGGTTTCCCTGCTGACGCAAAAAAAAAAAAACAACAACAAAAAAAAACATGATTTTTAACCAAAATTTCGGACATTGTAAAAAAAGATTAAAAAATATGATTTAATAATAATAATAAAAAAACCTTTGCTCTTTCTTCTTTTAATAATATCATAAAGATTTTGATAATAAAATTTTGTTTTTATTAAGTTTCGGGCATTTTTTTTCATCGTGGTATGCTCATTTTTTAGCGAATCCGTGGAGAAACCTACTTTTTATATAAAGAATATTTTATTCAAATTTAAACTCTAGGTAGAAAAATAAATGCTGATATAAAAGAATGGATAGCACATAGCAATCCAACTCTCTTTGTTTCTAACGAAATCTTTCCATCTCTCGGCATCTTGTTTAGCTTTTGAATGCCTCTTTCGCTAGGCCAATGCATGTTCGGATCTCGGTGTCGCATTTTCCATCCTCTGATAAAGCGTTTCCCAGATATTTGAACTTCTGTGCCTGCTTGATGTTTATATCTTCAATTCATAACTAGCATCTCGAGCTTTTTCTCTTGCTGATGAACATGCTTTCTGACTTCTAGCAGTTGATGGTTAGACCACTACACATTTTTAAAATGATTTCAGGATCATAATATCAAGCTTTTCGAACGACCACCCAACTCATTGGTATCCGAGCCAACAGAGAATGTGTGGAATAGTAAGAAAAGAAAGATTGCAACTATTATAGATCATCTGAAAGAAATAATAAATACAATTTGGACATAACGCGTCAACAATGATCTCTGCAAATGTCTTGCAAAATCAATGGCTTCCCGAATCAAGATATAAAATCAGTAACTTTTTCATAGTTAATATTAACTTTTCAGATTAATAAAGCTTTCTTGTCTAGTGCGTTTGGGGGCACAATAAAAGAATGCAATATTTTAAATAATAATAAAAAAAAACAACTTAATTTCATGATTTTTGTGGGGGTTTCAAAACAGTTTCGATTCTTATCAAAGGCCTCTGATAAATTTTGATTTGATAGTTTTGTTATTGATATTTTCTCTTGTCTCCATATCAGGTAACAAATATTTGTATTATATATGTAATGATTATATATATATATATATATATATATATATATATATATATATATATATATATATATATAGGGTGTTCAATAACTTGCGCCGATTTTAAATGTGAATTAAGTTCAAGCGTCTACTGATATTCTTTTCTTTTTCCTTCAGATTTGGTGCACATTTGGGCAATATTATTTTTCACACATAATTGTCATGACTTAAATAACATGACTCAATAGAGAAATAAATAAATTTTCACCAATAACACTGATTTATTTACTGCTGACCTTGATCCGTCTTAATGAAACACCCTTATATATAATCCGTCTTAATGAAACACCATTATATATATATATATATATATATATATATATATATATATATATATATATATGTATATATATATATATATATATATATATATATATATATATATATATATATATATATATATATGCCGGATGTAACTGCAAAATTGTTCAAATCATGTAACAGCATAACTATCCATTCCATAAAATGTTTAATATCTAAAAAATAACTAAACTAATTGAGTTTCCTTTTTCCAGATTTTCAGATAAGACCTTTAACCATCTTGACACCATTTTTTTTTAGTTATTCAGCTAGAAGGAGAACAAGTTAAAATTTTTTTTGTGTCAGCGCCACTGTCTTCCCAACTGAGCAATGGTAAGAGGAAAAAGATCATTCAGACCTTCAGTAATGGTACGAACATTTATATTCTGGCTCCCATCTTCAAAGTCCATTCAAGAACCATCACGAGAATGGTGAATAAGTTTAAAAATGTGGTAACAGTAGAGAGGAAAACTGGTTCAGGAGGCCATAACAGCATGAGGTATCATCATTTCAACTTAGAGCTAAGTACATTCGTATTTTTCAAAGTAGAGTCCAATAGTGTTATTAAAATCTCGGAGAATTCCAGTAAGATATCTTTAATTACTTCTAAGACACAACGGTTCAAAGCTTAATCTAACAATAGAACAATTTTGCTGTTACACGATTTGGACAATTTTGCTGTTATCCCATTCGGACAATTTTGATGTTACACCCGGTATATACACAGAATGCGATCGATAAATTGTCGAAATTTTGCCAAAATGAAAATAACACTGACATCTCATTTTAACAGATATATTTACCAAAATCACACAAATATATCGTGAAATACTAAAGAGTAAATTTATTCAATAACGGTCTCCAGACGACTTCCAAATCTCTTGCAACTCTTTTGGACGGTTTCCATGTTTAAGTTGGCGAATGCCGCCATAATACTTGTCTTCAGTTTATCTTTGGTGTTACAAAGAGTTTTGTTGGTCTCTCGCTCAACTTCACCCCACACATAATAATGGGGTTGCAGTCTGGCGAGTTAGGTCGCCATATGTGTGGAGTGATGTGGTCGCAGAAATTGTCTGACAGTCATGACTGGGTTCTTCTACTTGTGTGGCATTGTGTAGAGTCATGTTGCCAGACATAGGGTCTTCCATCAGCCACCTTCTTGACTCAGAGCAGCACTACCCCCTCAAGGAACTTGATGTAGGCCTCCGTGTTGAGTCGGAGTCCCTCACCCAAATTCGGATGTTCCTTTCTTATCAGAACGATCAGAGTGTATTTTCCGAGCTGACGTACCTTCGTAATCACCATTAGATTAATCTGACTCTTTCCGAATTCGCTTCACTGTCCTTAGATTGACACACATACTCTGAAATGATCGTATTGGAGCTTCTGGTGCGAATGCCAAGGACTAAAGCATGCCGTTTTCCAAATTTTTGGCAAAGTTAATTGCCCCATAATGCTCCTTTTCTCATGGACGGTGCCCAACTGACCCTACTATAGTGTGCAGTCGACAAAATCAAAAACAAACTACGCGCATGCGCGAAATGAAAAATATAAAATGGCGACAATTTACCTATCGCCCCTATATATATATATATATATATATATATATATATATATATATATATATATATATATAGATACACCTGAGCCAGACAAACCTACCTAGGTTTCACCTAAACGGATCGTCAGGGAAACTCCTGACGATCCGTTTAGTTGAAACCTAGGTAGGTTTGTCTGGCTCACTAAATGTATCTAGGTCTGCTCTACGGTTGTATTGAGCTCTTTTGTTAGTTAGTTGTTACTCGTATCGGGGTTTTTTCTTTGGGCTCCAAACTTGCATCTGTGCGATTTTTTTGTCGGCAGAAGTTCATGTTTGTAGCTCTTCTTTTTTAAAACCTTTTTTCCCTCGAGATTGATTTGATTAGCAAATCAAAAATTCGAGGGTTTTTCGAAACGAGTCTAGTTATATATATATATATATATATATATATATATATATATAACCAAGCAAGGCAGTAAAGCCACTGAAACGCAAGGTGTTACTGAATGTGGAAGAATTAAAAAACAGAAACATTACCAAGGAGCGGGAACAAAGGAAGAGCATTCAGGAGAACAACAGAGCAGATAGCGATTGATGTTGCATTTAAATTTTTGAAGATTAAATTTGACTGTAAAGTATGGAACTGGAAGAGAGTTCCACAAGCGAGAAGTGCGTGAAAAGAAACTTTTAACATCGCACTTACGGTCATGTCTAACTAACTCAACTGTAAATTAATGAGACCTCGTCGTCAGTCTATTAGTTAAATTCATGCTAGTATTTTCGATCATGCAAATCTATGAACAATTCTTACACAAGGATAATCCAAATATCCATTACCTGATACAGAGACAAGAAAATATCAATATAAAGCTTATCAGTAATCTTTAATAAGAAAATTGTAGCTTTACCCCCATTTGCCCGCCAAAGAACTTCTAACGACCGCGAAGCAGCCTAGCCAAAGTTATATATAAGAAAAAGGCGCAAAACATCTCATCATTTTTTATTACCCACATGAGATCTGAAAGATAAGACATCACTTTTAGGGTCCTTTTTATCCCCAGTGAATTTCATGTCGTGTTGAACACAACACAAAATAGTGCACAGCATGCACTGCCTTAAGCTTACTCGACTACATACAAACATATCTAATAATTCTACCAAAACAACATAAAGAACTCTTCTCAAACGTAAGTCTGTAGCAATCTTTTATAGGAAATTCACACACACGTATATAATATAAAGACATATTTACATACAGTTCACTTCTTTTCTAATCTTTCCATTTAATTTGTTCAGGCAATAAAGTATGTTAATTGTACGTAATTTTTGAATATTCATTCTTACTCCCTTGTTTGAAGAAACTCCAATGTGTCTATTATTCTATCAACAAACAATAATCTTCGGCAACTCGTTTAATAGAAAAAAAAATTACAGCTACAATATACTTTTATATCGTAATATTATGCCATCTAATTATGGGATTTCCTTAATATCTATTATCAATATGCAAATATTCAGTCTGCATTATCAACAATCGTCAAGAGAATTACCTTATACAAACAACGTATATTGAATAATGAAAGGTCTGGAAGGATGCCCGATTGCATTATTATACCTAGCAACCAGAGAAAGAATTTTGTTAGTGTTTTTATAACAATTGGCCTGGCAATAGTTTCCTTGGAACACAAAGTTGGATAAATATTGGAAGTATTTTGGGAGAATTCGGTGAGGTCAAATGTATATAAGTATCGTACATTATAACCTTTTTATCAATCTGCTGTTGCATTTTCAACAACGTGTACTCGTAATTTTTCAAAACACCGACTCGAAATGGAAAGCCAAAATATACACGTCATACCAAAACACTTGTACATCAGTCAATTTCTAAGACATCAAGTATCGAATTAATTAAAAAAGTTTATCAGTCAGTTATGTGTCATGCGTGATACACACTTACGCGATCGTGTATCTTTCGACTTTTTCCGCAGTAGGTTGCCATTTCTGTATACAGTAGACCAGTTGCCATTCAAGACTATAGAACCCTGTCTGTCCTGCTATTTACCCATAGCTGGGGGGGAGAAGAGGATTCATACCTTTCTCAAGGGTATTAGAATGTAAGAGAATGTAGTGAGTGGAATTCGAACTCGGCTCTCCGAATCCTCAATTCGTGCCGCTATCCATTACTCCCCCGTGCCTCCGTGTGTATAGTTAGTGTATTTGATAGCATAAAAGATACGTTTTAAAATGATCGGCTAAAAATTATTCTTCGTCTTATATGCAGCCTCCTACAGGCTAATTTTATCCTCAAAGCTCACTACCGTAGGCTATAAATTTACCTCAAACGGTCACTGATAGTCACCCGGTTCCATAACAATATTATTTGCTCAACATTATTATTATTATTATTATTATTATTATTATTATTATTATTATTATTATTTCCTTCGATTTCTGTTGCGTACTTATTTCCTTCCGGGTCCCAACAAGAGACCGAAGGTCAGAAATGGCTTCATGACATTTCCCACCGAACATCCTCAGATCACAGACATTTTATAATGATAAAGCCCTACGTAAGGTGTGATCTCTACTCGTGAGAACAATTACTTATATTTAAGGCATGGGCTACCAGGGATCCCTTCATTGAGTCTACCAGAAACATTTCCAGCTAAACTGAAGGCTCCAACCACAACTGGAATTATAGATGTCTTTATGTGCCACAACTTTTAGATTTTTACTTCAAGATCCTTGTATTTTGATAGTTTTTTGAAGATACGTTACAGTCTGCAAGGACCTCTATATCAGTAAGAAATCACATTCTGTTCTTGTGGTCTTTGATCACCACGTCTGGGCGATTAACTTTGATTATTCTGTCTGTGTGTATTGTAAAGTCACAAAATTGTTACAGGTCCTATCTTTGTAACCGGGTCTGGGTTATGTTCATACTAATTTCTTATAGTTTTCTTCACATAAAAGTTGCATATTACCAGTGCAGTTATTAGTCCACTCTATTATACCGAGTTTTATATGCGGTGGGGGCTAATACCATGCAACCTGATACAAGATGGTCAATTGATTTTTTTAGATATTCATTACAGAATCTGCATTTCGGGTTAACACAATTTTTCCCTATGTGTGCTTGGTAATTTCTAGTTAGCAAGCATTGGTCCTGTGCAGCTTTTAACCCTACACTATGTAAGCACTGATGGGTACGGGCTTTGTTTACATCAGCTTGTTTAGTACGGACAGAATATTGACCATGAAAAGACTTATCTGTCCATCGTTGTTGTTATTATTATTATTATTAATTGAGAGATCGACATGCCGACAGAGTGATGTCCGGGGTTCCAATATACAAAGCTAAATATACTCATCATTACACCCTGTCTGATAAGAAAATAACAGGCACATGCATTACATGCGCGATATATTGACATATTTTGATAAAAGCCGAGCATAATCTTGCAGCTGGTGCCTAGTTAGAAATACATTCAAGTCGAGTTATCCAGTCCGCTCAGACAGTCTCCGATTGAAAGTGTTCCCAAGTATCTGTGTCTCCTAAGCTGCATTGGCTGCCTCATCCTTTGAACTTAAAAATCTACTCTCTTGACACCCGGTCACGATGCTAATGAACAGAGATGCATAGCGCACCAGCCCTGAGCAGATATGCCCAACTGGCAAACGTCGGATAGCTGACAAGCCAATCTGTAGTGGTGAACGGGTTATTTACTGTAACTCACCTTAAATTCACCAACACAGAACATGTACATGTCAGCATCTCCAATCAGTTATGATCAGAAGCTATGAGAGTATTTATTATCAATATAATTATTTGAGTGATTCGTTTTCTACGGCTTATCGACCCTTTGCAGGTTATTTAAAGCCAGGAAATATTTTTAGATTGCAAGAATTTATTTTAATTTTTATTTTAGAGATAATAAAGATTTTAGTGATACTAATTAACACCTAAGCTGCGGGAGGGGGAGAGATGGATTCATACCTTTCCTAAGGGTCTTTATGCAAATATGCAATAATTTTAATGTACGGAAGACTAAAAGGTGAAAATGTTTATTTTATCGATGTAATAACCTGTGATTAGGAATAAATTATAGTGTTGTCGTATGCATGTCGGGACACACACCAAATGTTGCGGGAAATACAAGTTAGACTAAATGCAGTGCCAACAATATTTTGTACAAATAGATGTGAATATAGTGTAAGAAAAATGAATGAATTTCAACAAGGCGATATTTTATATTTTGGTTCTTATATTAATTGATTGATTCGTTTTCTACGGCTTATCAACCCTTTGCAGGTTATTTAAAAACAGAATTTCTTTTTAGATTGTAAGAATTATTCTTTTTAGACAATAATAATTTAGTGATGCTAGTCTTACTAATTAATCCATAGCTGGGGAAAAAGAGGTTAATTCATACCTTTCCCAATGGCATTTGCGCATAAGTAAATATAACGTTTCTCCGATTAACATTTTCGAGCTATTATCCATTACACCACCCGCACACCCAAGCTTACAACGCCTAGTATTTCGAAGCGGTCACCCATCTAAGTACTGACCAGGATCGACGTTGCTTAACTTTGATGATAGTACAGGAACCAGTGTTTCAAATCCATATAGCTTAATAAACTTACATCGAAAAGAATTATAACAAAGTATCGGCGACATTCGGTTTTGTTTTGGTTTGTTTTGTTTTATGGCATAACAACTTCAATGGATTATTTAATGCCGACAAAATTTTTATGGCTGGTAATATTTTTTTCCAAAAATGTATTGCTGGTAATAATTTTTTTTACAAAGTATTTCTGGTATTATAACCTATTTTTACACTTTCATAGTGTTTTAACCCCAGTTTGGGGGTTAACTATTTACCCATAGCTGGGACCCTAACAGGTGCTACTACCCAGGGTCAGGGTGGACTTGGGAACACCAGCAATTGAGGTGGTTCCACGTTCCTGAAAACCTCCTGATTAGAGGCCTTGCTGTTGGACGTAGTTTATCGTCTTACCCAGGACGCGGATGTAGTTTATCGTCATACCCAGGACGGGTCGACGTTCGTCGGTACCAGCTGATCTATCATACTTACATAAGAGTCAGCACATTCCCATTATTAACTAGCTGGAAGCTACAGCTGTAACAGAATGAAAATACCAATAATGGTAAAACATTATCCTGGGAAACATAACATTCAGGCCGCAGAGAAATATATTTGTTAGACGAAGCGATCAAAGAAGAACGACTTTTGTTGAAGGAGTGGTGTGTCTACAATGTGATTTCTTGCTTTATGTTCCATTGTACTACTAGCTGACTTTTCGTTCAAGATCAAAGAGCTACTCAAGGTAGTGTGTTACTGAAGGATGTTGTTGCAAGTGCGAGAAGTGTTATTTATGATGATATGTGTGAAGGTAACACTTAAGCATAGATGTGAAGAAGTTAAGATTGTAGTGGTCTGGGAAGTATCATCTTGGAGATCGGTTTCGCAATGTAGTGGTTTCTGGGAAGAAGCTACTTGAGTGAAACTTCTTCCTCACTAATGGAATGCGAAGAGGACGAGGGTGGTTCGCCTCAGTGTACGTGGTGTTGCTGGTCCTAGCGGCGATGGTCTGTACTGCTAGAACTAAAGAATGTATCTCGTCAGAACATTTTCCAGGGAAATAAAGCTAGAATAGCGAGAAGCTAGCAAAGATCACACCTTAAGTAGGGCTTTATCTATGTAAAATGTCTGTGATCTTATGATGTTCAGTGGAAAATATCATGATGCTATTTCTGACCTTCGGTCTCTTGTTGGGGTCCTGGAAGGAAATTAGTGAGAAAGAGATTGTGGGGTGAAAAATAATTCATCACCGCAATGCCGCGTAGACGCTTTCGAACACTATCAAAACTCGAAAGGGGACACTAGACCTTTTCAACCCAGACGTAGCAAATTCACCCAGATGTGATGTCTTGAACGAACAGTGTATGCGTGTATGTGTATATGTGTGTGTTTTGTGATATCAACGAACACTCGTTGCCAATTTTGTAATGTCAACGAATACTCGTTGTCACTTTCGTAATGCTCGTTGTAGTAGAGACTTTGTAATCGCAGATACAACTATAGTAACACCGTTGAACAATACTGGTGTCAGACGTCTTCGAATAACACTTGCATTAATAGTACTTGCTCGATAATACTCACTCAAAAAGTAACAACCGAATCGTAATCTGTATAGTGATAACTTAGACGCCACGCTCCCATATATACACTTCTTTTACCATCACATGATCTACTTATTCAAATTGGGATCGCCTCTGTTTGCACTCTGGTGATCTGTGTTCAAACTTCAGTGTCGGCAGCGGCACTTTATTCCTATATAACAGTGTGTTCCTTGAGAAAATACCCATTCATCGCGATAGGCGAAAATTTAGTGTATGTTTATAGTGGCGTGGGAATTCGGTGTTAGAATGAACAGTTGATTTACCAACGTCAAGAAGATTAATGAAGGATGATACTGACGAGGAAACAAACACACTGGTAATTTTAACAAAATAAGATAAAGGATTTATTTACGAATTTACTCGCTTGAAGTAGTGTCAGTAGGTCGTTCCAGGAAAAGA